AAAAATATGCGTATTAACACGTGCCGGATTACTGTAAGAACCGAGTGCCGGACTGAATTTTCGTTCTTGTTCTGGACACTCTAAACAACAACAGAAATACGGCATATCAGCTCGCGAAGGTTGAGCACCTTAGGGTGCGGAAAAAAATCAAGGGTCTCTAATGACATTATAGCTCATGAAAATATTACCTGTTGCATTTATCTCCACCCTTGTTCCATTTGTGATTTTCTCCAGCAACGCGATGAGTTTGGCTTCGAAATCTGGAACACTTCAAATCTAATGAAAGATACTACGTCATGATCCGATGTTCTTGCCTTTGATTCCAGGCGCATCGTCATCCTTTCGAATATTTCGTATAGTAACAGGACGTCCGCTCAGTACAGAATATGCAAGCCTTTGTCGGAAGAAATTACATCCTTCGAAGACAAGCTCTTCTGTGGCCATGACTTGTATCACTCTCACGCTCCTATGTCACATGAATCGGCAAAGCTTCCTAGTATATTTTCAATGACAGCCAAAGTAGAACGTCCAGAATCACTGGCAATTTTGCTCGGATTTCGATTCTATTCGTTGCCGCAAAGGGCCAATCTCAAAAAGTCGGCGGAGACTAAAATGTGGTATTAAACAACAAAAGTAAACCAGCAAGGACGGCCCACTTTGAAATAGGAGGAATCTGCGCGAATGGGTTACTCAGACAGATTGATTGGATGCAACATGTAAGTCATTGGATGCTGAATGAAGGTAGACTATTGACTAGCGACTTCAGATGCTGTTAATTTTTACTCACGGCAACAGTCTGTAATTACGTACAAACAGCAACTACCGTAATCTTACGCTTACTTCTGCTCGATTTTCAGGCGAGACTGAAGGTAGACTTGAAGTGATATCGGTCAATGCATCCATCTCCACTGGCTAAAAAATGATCAAAAAAGATGTCTAATAAGCTGTTGGGCGATGTGATCCCTGACACCCATAGATGAAGGGACAGGAGTATCTTTAAGAGCGCAAACCGAATGGCTAGCACTAATCCGTACAAAAAAAAGGAATGAGGAAATTGAATCATTTTGAATTAGAGATACTCCTATGGACAACTGCTACTCAATATCGATGAAAGGAAACCTCTCGCCTTTGTTTCATACCATTCTCATGAAAACAATTTCATATTCATAGTTCCGATTCCCGAACGCGACAGTCTTTGACACAGCCTCTTATTATCGATTGCCCAACAAGTCATTAATCCAGGTTCTTCCTTTTTCAATCAGCATTATCATTTTTTACTAGCAGTAAGTCAATAAATTGAATGATTAGAAGGAATTCAACGGAACGCGTGGTACGGTAATCCCCCTGGTGCCCGACCACCTACCGTGGGCCTAACCCAGGGTACCTTTTCGTTGTGCCGTATTTGTGAAGCTTGTGGGCGCTTGATTGTGTCTTCGGGATACTGTGTAACACATTCACAGGACTTCGAAATCCGTCTTGTAAATGAATGACTGAATTCTCATGACAACTATGACTGTATACGTCCCATTACCATGGCAAACCACCATCAGAACTCCGACTATGTTCTAATACAATCGCAAAATATTTTTATTCATTCTTAAGCTCTATCCGTTTCCATGGGATGGCTAGGAAGATGCCTTGTACTCCTAAATCGCACTTGCTTTACTTGCATGCTTGCATTGTACTGATCGACCGGCAGCGTTGCTGGCCACGAGTTGACAACGCGGGACAGATCGCGTTCGGATCGCTCGAACGGGATGCATTGGTCCAGCGTTGTCAACCCGGTGCCAGTAACGCCAGCGGTCGATTTGTCGGTCGGTGAAACAATGCATGACGTTCAATTTTGAAAGCGCCTAGTCGGGCATCGAAACCAAAGAAAAATCAATGTAAGAGTACGGTAGTCAGGGACCGTACGCAATTGCAGACTGCCACGGTGAGGAAACAAGTAACATCGGCGCAAACCCTTTTCCAATCCATCGTTTTGTGGAACTCCTCTGTGTTACTCCTAGTTCGATTTTTCTCTATAGGTGGGTTGTCTTTTTGATTACTTGGCAGGGTTTTTCACCTCGTTTGAAGGTCAAATAGCTACGATCATTTCCAGTAAACCTAATGCGCTGAAGCAAAAAAAACAGCCTTCGGATCCATTGTTCAACTCTGGTTTAATCTTCGTCAAATACAAGTGTGATACGGAAGTTGTTTATGAAGCGCGACCCTCTATCGAATCAGGAATCGTAAGCAACCCGCAAAAAGTATTCCAAAAACTACCAAGCACAGCGGTTTCTCTTTACCATCGTCACCGGTGGTCTTCACTTTTTCAAACAGTATCCGGAGTGACTTTGTCCCTTGATCTGGTTAAATTTTAAGTCCAGAGATTAGAGTATATTGAGCCAATATTGATTGTCTATGGGCATATTTACCGTACACTGTCACCTACCGTCGCCCGTTCTTCCGGCCGGCTAATCGACTTTCTATTTCCCTCCATCTTCAAGCCAAGCATTATGGAAGCCATTCTATCGAGCTAGTGAGATTCGTTAGGAAGTAAGGAACTCCATTCTGCATAAAGTTGAGACAGGGCATAAGTGGAGAGCAGCAATTGAAAATGCCGCTGAAATCGGATCGCGCTTCTCACTGAAATTAGAAATTAAGTCGAGGAGTTGTACGTCGAGTTGGTTGCATGCATAAATGACGATATGTTTAGATTATGACAAATCAGTAAAAACGGATAAAATTTCTTGAAAAGCTGTAGTAGTTATCGGAACCTCCTCCAGCAAGCCCAGTGGTGATGACTTTACTCATCTTTGGTAGTAACCAAATATTCACTGAATGAAGGTATCCATCCACATTTCCCTCGGATCCAATTGGCCACTTTGCATTAAGCGCCTTATCACGGTCATTGGTGACCAGTTGGATCGCCCGGCATACGCCGGGCTTCCCTCATTCCCGTTAAGAAGGTGGAATTCAGTTCCTTCCAAAAGACGGATTCATTTCTCAGTGCAAAGTTCTCGAAAAAGATTTTTCGCAACAGCAACCATCCATTAAGCATTCGATCCTTTTCTTTATCAAGCCCGACATTTCTGCAACTGGCCAGCCAACGGAATCCTTGAACGATACTTGCTGATGTTTTCGATTTATGACTATACAATACCACTGTCGAAGGTTCGCAGCCATTCTTATGTTCATGTATAAGAGCATTGGCCGAGCTTTTCGGAGCACCCTTATTCGGGTATGTTTTGTGGCAATTGATATAGAAATTAAGAGAACAGTCTCTCATTCCGTTGCAAACTTTGGTTGATTCGAACTTCGTTCTCCTCTCACGGTAATGACTTTGATTGGTCCTTATCGCTCTGCTTATACCCACACGGTGGCCAATGTCAGGTCCTCCGTGTTTTTGTTGCTTTGTTGTGGTTGTTTTTCGTTACGATGCTCGAGAGCTGTTTTTCAGTGCTTGCACTCCAACACAATGACGTCCGAGTTTGGTAACCCGCTCAAAAAGTTCAAACTTGTTTTTTTGGGAGAACAAAGTGGTGAGAAAGTTTGCGATACTGGTATGTCCTCGTTTACACTAATCCTTTAACTTTCAGTAGGAAAAACGTCTCTGATCACACGATTCATGTACGACTCGTTTGATAACACCTACCAGGCAACCATTGGTATTGACTTCTTGAGCAAAACCATGTATCTAGAAGATCGAACGGTTGGTAATTTGAGCTTCACTTTTTCTCGAATAGGGTTCAGTGAGTACTAGGCCGTTAGTGAAACGTTTTGCAATTTCAGGTTCGTCTGCAACTTTGGGATACCGCCGGGCAAGAGCGATTCAGGTCTCTCATCCCCTCTTACATTCGGGACTCAACTGTTGCAGTAGTAGTCTACGACATTACCAGTTAGTTACATTCGTTGCATTTACTAGGACATAAGCGTGGCTCTGTCGAACACGTGGTTATCAAAAAAGTGGTACTGTGCTGGCTGTAAACCCCGGTGCTATATCTACTGCAATCTCTGGGTGAAGAAAAGAAGTTCGAAATTCGAGATGGAATACACAAGAGAAGCTCTGGTATAGTGGGAGAGTGGTGCTGTCTTTGATGCTTTTCGAGTTTTCATAGTTGCCTAATGAAAATGCAATCTTAAAAATTCAATGGGCAATCGATGTTATGCGTTAATGGCCGCAGCGGTGTTAAAGTCCAAACAGTCCGTTGAATGTTCAGTTTCTACAATATTTGGTTTTGATCACGGTTCCTTTTATTGTCGTGTGGTCCTATAAGCATAGGAGAGAGAAGCTTCGAGCCTCACTTTAAAAGGTTTTCCGCTGATCGGTCTATCAAGGCAATGGTGGAACAACTTGATCATTTTTTAACAGATGCCCAACCCTTCTTCGAATGCATGTTTTCACAGTAGGCAAAGGAAGCTTCGGCAGTAAAACAGCTTTTGATTCCTTCATCCTTGGAGAATGATTAAATCCTTGAACTTGTAAATCGGAGGTTTTTCAGACGCGAACTCATTCCATCAAACTTCTAAGTGGATAGATGATGTTCGTACGGAAAGAGGTAACGACGTAATTATCATGCTTGTTGGAAACAAAACTGATTTAGGAGACAAGAGGTGTGTTCCCGTTTTTACCACATTTTTTAAATTCTTAATTATAAAATTGGAAATATGGTTTGCAGACAAGTATCAGCTGAGGAGGGACAGCGTAAAGCAAACGAACTCAACGTCATGTTCATTGAAACATCGGCTAAAGCGGGTTACAACGTCAAACAAGTATCGATTTTTGTTCTCACGATTTTTCATTAACTGCGGCTCAATTTAATGGCCCCACATTATATAACGGATTTGCTAACGCTCATTGCGCCCTAGATTGTTTTAGATAGCTATTTCTCATGTTGTTGATAATTAATGCCCCATAAATCAGTGATGGCATAACGCTACCGCAGTGCTCTCATCTTTTTCGGTGCCCAATGTTTCAATGTTTGCCGAGATTCTTGGAGGGATGGCAGTCGCATAGTTTTTGTACCAAAGATATTGGAGTAAAAGCGAAAAATGATTATTTAACGGGTCCAGCGCTTGCCGTGTAATGGTCATAATGTAATTATAAGGGATTTAGCAGATTTCATCATCCTCGCATGATATTATTGGCTTTTTTAATCTTTNTTTCATTTCTATTATCAGCTTTTATCGATTTTAACCAACCCTACAATGTCGTCATGCTGTTTCCATCGCTGTTTACCTGTCACTGATGCACCATCACGGCAAAGGCGTCACGAAAGTTATAAGCTTTGCTTTCGATTTTTGGTTTCATTTCCAGCTAGTCACCACTCTTTATACATTCTATGCACTGTATCATTGTTAGAGAGTGCCTACATAACGCAAAGGAAGATGCCTAGCGCTCACTACCCATCTTTATCATCTACTACTCTTTACTTTTTATAGCTCACCATGCACGATCTCGTGACATCCATCAGAAGACGTCTTGGGGCTTAGCGTCGGGAGAATGATATAATATTGCTCGTGAAGTTGTTTTAGAACTCACAAAGCATCACTATGAACGTAGGAACACCCTGTTTCCCAAGGCTTCAATAACCCCTTCTGTCTCGTCAGTATTACAGTCCTTCTTCGAATAGATGATCATAACGGCACTCTACTCACCTCATACTCTCATCTTGTAACGGTGTGGGTGTGATCAATTGTACTGGACCCTCTTCAAAGTATTCTTGCTCCCATGGCTGTCCTTCATATGATATTCTGTTAATCCTGTTAGGGTGGACTACGGTTTGTAGATCACAGACAGCAGACAGATTGTGCGATAGCTGCTAGTATCGTGTGGCTCCTTATACTGCAACACAGACTTGCTAATTTCCCACGATGTGTGTACTTTGCGTTCCGACACGTACCGCGTGAAGAACCGAGCTGGCATCTTGACGGTAACTGGTGGCAGGCACTTTCGATGTATTGGTTAAATTCTTTCGGGGCCGGGGGAACTACAGTCTATGTACGTGACAGCCGTTTCAGGAGATGGTAAAGATTACTCGTGCAAATTCCTGGAGTCGTGTATTATCATACTTGCATGGTTCTTACTTTGGAACTCCTATTCGAATCCGCTACCGAATCGCGACGAATGTCCCTTACGTGGAGCGGAGATTGTTCCGGACCGCTGTGATTGACTCGTTTTTCATTAGTAAGAAGACAAAAGAAAGCGGAAAATATGTTGCTCGATCTATGCTGAGCCATTTTTCGGAAAGTTGTACTTTTTCTCGCTACAGCCATGTTCTAGAATTCCTACCTTCTCGTCAACCACTCCTGAGAGCTACAACAGGCATTATTCATACACTTTTGTTTTATCTGCCCTTTCGATCAAATGACATACCACGCGGTCATTTTTGTGAAAGGTAGGTCAGCGCGAACTTGGCTAACAGATAAGGAGGAATTTAGGACAATACAGGTTATTCTTTTCGCGTCCAAGTACAAAAAGATGGAGAGCAACGAGTGATCTCATCAAAGAGGGGTTCCAAGACGAAGCGCTGATTTAGAAAGAGCCTCACACTGCTCGGCCAGTACATAGACGGTATCGCATTCTAGGACCGTTTTGCAGCTAGAGATGAATCCTTTTCTACTCAACGCTTCAACTTCTTTGCCCCTTTGTACACTCTAATGGTCGGATCGTCTGCTAAACGCCGGGCACTCCTCTCCTCAAATCCTGAATGTTTAAGCAACTCGCTCCTCACTTATTCCAAACTGGCTTGTATATCCACTCAAGTTGCGATCTTTTTCACACGTTCCGCTCCCTCTCCCCCCCCCCCCCC